AAGCCCCTGGATCTGCCTGAGCAGGGGCCAGCTCCCGTCACCAAGGCCTTTCCTGAGCAGGCAGAAGACACCACTGCCAACCATACGCTCGCCTGGCTCAACACCACAGACAGAGAAGACACCGACTCCGATGTCCCCGACAGCCCCAGCTTGTCCGCCTTCCTTGATGAGCTCCCTGACCTCTCCGAATATTTGGCAAAGGGTGGCTGCCCAAAGGAGCAAGATGTGATAGTGGAGAATGGGGACAGCAAGGACACCATCCCCAATATCCCCAATTTCACTGTCCTCCTCAATGACCTCCCTTACTTTTCAGAGTATGTAGCAAAGGGTGGCTGCCCCAAGGAGTGAGCAGTGTCACCAGGGCTGGGGGACAGCAAGGGCACCATCCCCAATGTCTCTGATGCCCCTAGTATGAACAGCTACCACAACAAGCTTCCCAAATTCTACGAGTACAGGGCAGAGGGCAGCAGCCCCAAGGAGTGAGCAGCAGTGGCCAGGCTGGGGGACGGCAAGGTCACCATCGACACTGTCTGCGACTCTACCAACCGACTCTTTAACCAGCTCCCTGACTTCTCTGAGTACGTGCTGGATGGCAGCTGCCCCAAGCAGTGATAAGTGGCAGTGGGACTGGGGGACAGTGAGAACACCGTCCCTGATGTCCTCGATGTCCCCAACTTGACCACCTCCCTCAACAAGCTCCCCCATCTCTCTGAGTACAGAGCAGACAGCAGCTGCAACAAGGAGCAAGTGGCAGCGGTGATGCTGGTGGACAGCAAAAACACCTTCTCTGATGTCCCCAACTGCCTTGCCAGCTCCCCCTCCTTCAGTGAAGTCCCTGACCTCTTTGACTACGGAGTGGAGGGCAACTGCCCTGTGAACCGCCTGGCAGTGGCGATGCTGGGGGACACTGACCCCTTCTGGGGGGTGGCAGACTCCCTGTTGCAGGAGCCCAAGGAGGAGCAAGGCAGGCTGGCAGCAGACCTCCTGACCTGGCTGCCACTGAGTCTCCTTGGAGACTCCTGAGGGGAGCTCTCTGGAGAAGACTTCAGGGGACAGTCCTGTGGAGAGTCCCCAGAAGGATCCCCTGAAGACTCCTGCAGAGAGTCCCAGCCTGAGCCCCCTGCGCATCCCGCTGCTGAGTCCCCTGGCCAGTCCCCCGACTGCCCCCCAGCATCATCTGCCACCCATGGCCCAACTGGTGGAGGAGGCACTGCGGAGGCAGCCCTGGGTGGTTTTGACCCACTTGCCACTGCCACCAGGCGTCGTCTCGTGCCAGGTGGTGACCAGATTGGGAAAGGCAGGCGGCAATCAGGCCAAGGGCCCCACGCCAGCTGGCACCCCAAAGACACGAGAGACCTCTCCACGGGACATCCTGACACCCAACAAAAGGAAGAAGGCAAGGGCATCCCTGGGGAG